ACATATGCATGCCTACTCAGATGCAAGCTGCATTGCATTCAGTAGAACTGATTCAAAGGTAAAAAATGGATCTGAAGCTGGATCAGGGCCAGTGTCAGTTTTCCTTACAGAATAATGTCTGTGTGCAATTATAATTTGAGAATGCGCTCTTGGTGTGACAGAGAGGACTGGTAGAGAAATATTGAAAACAAAACTTGCAGGACTCAATAAAACGAGTTCTTTCTGCTGTGAGTGAAGCAAAGATATGCTGAGAGTCTATGGTTTCTTGATGAAATACCTTGTAAATCCTGCAAAAGAAAAGAAAAGAAAAAACAGCTAGAACAAGCCAATTTCACATAGTGGGGCCTTTGCCAGAAACATGCTATGAGGGCCTCAAGTGTTAGCTTTCTACAGCTTCCATTACCCTGGCAAAACAAACAAAGATATATTGATTGTTTCTGTGTGGGTACCATTTATTTATTTGTTTGTTGGTTTTTTTGCAGAAAATTTCAAAAGGAAATGAAAAATGGCCTGATTAGTCTCCCACTCAGTGTAAATCAAGGGTAATGTCACTAGTTTAATCAATACAAACAGTAAAATGTAAAGAACAACATAACCTATAAACTAAAACTGGAATAAAGACCGGAATTATTTATTTTACCAGAAGAAAGATGGGGAGGAAAAAACGCACACCCCTGAATGCCTATGAAGAATTAGAATGCATTGTTGGAATTCTTACTGGTGACAGGAACAAAAATAGTGGAATTTATCAGAGTTACATAATCTATATTTTCCACCAGAAAAAAGCTGTATTTTACCAGACTAATAACTATTTGGTCCTTAGGCTGAAATCTCTCACCCACATATACATCCTAGGGAGTAAGCCCCATTGAACAAAGTGGGACTTGCTTTCCAGAAAAGATGAATAGGGTTGTGCTATAAGTTTACCAAGGCTGGAATCCAAAGAACCACACAGGCAGTGTAATCCTGTACATGCATATGTGGAAGTGTGCTCCTTTAAACCCCATGAGGTTTAATTTTGAGGAGACATGCATAGGTCATGCAAGGTGCTTGAGCTAGCCTAGTGGAAATGTAGTGGTGTTCTTAGAAGAAATGACCCTGTCACCCTGGCCATTTTGTAAACTGCTTCTGAAAATGCCTCGTGTAGGATGAGGTCCACTGGTAGAAAAAAAAATCATATAAAATTCCTCTTGGGCTTACATAATTTGTTCTTTGGAACCTGGCCTAATATAGCGTCACGTGGACACAATCTGGAAGCAGTGAGTGATGATGGGTTTGGATGTGGGAAACCTAAAGCTCAAATCCTTGCTCAGACATGGAACTCACCATCTATCAAATTCATTTGCAGCCCAGGGTTATCATGATAAAAAGCTGTTCTGTGCTCCATGAATGAAACATGGGGTACAAATGTAAGAAATTTGATGGGGATGCAAATTTGGCTGCACCCAGACTTTGGAACTCCCAAGAGAGACTAGCCTGGCACCCTCCTTATTGTCCTTCTGCCCGCAGGTGAATATTGTTTTAATCTGACAGGCTTTTGAGAACTGACTGTTTTTATGGAAACAATTTTTTATAGTGTTGTGCTGTTTTTAATATCTGCATTTTAATAATTTGTTTTTATATTGTTTTAATTCTGTTAAACTTTAAGAACTTTTAAACTATTTCTTAGCTTTCTGTGTTTTACCCATGTTTAAATTTTTTGTAAACCACCTTGACTCTCAGCTGTGGGGAAAATGTGAGATATAAACAAACAAACAAATAAGAACTTTTGACATTCCTTATTTATATCCTTGTATTGCTAAAGAGCAAATTTGACATCTGAGTAAACATGTTGAGGACCATGCTGCACACATATATAAAAAGAGGATGCAAGTGATCTGCTTTGTTCCAAAATAATAAATAAGTCTTTCTAAATATTTGCGCGCATATAGATATATATGGTACCAATAATTTCCTTGAAGTTATTCTGAAATGTGCTACATTTCCCATATCTATCACATAATGGATAGCGCTCTTCAATATTCAGTGATGCAAATTATTTGCTAAATTTCAAAAACAATTGTTACAAACTATTCTGTGCTTTTAATCATTGATTTTAATCATTGATTTACCAACTCAGTGTTTTTTTAATGAAGCCAAGATTAACATGGACTTTTACATTCAGCAAAAGCAAAAAATCACGCCTGTCATTATTCTGAATTGCATCAAAAATCATGTCACCCATAGTGAGTGCTGAATTAATCATTTGGCTAAATTATAGAGCCTGAATGAAGCTCACAACTGCATGGGCTATGTAGCTCAATCCTAGTCATCCTTACATGCAAGGTAGATCACTACTATTATTACTACTATTATTCTATGCATTGTATGGGCTGAAACTCAAGAGGTGGTGGCTTCCAAAATGCCTCTCATGAGGTCACTGCTGAGGGTTAGAACTGGGATTTTTCCAGCTCTCATTCTTAGCTGGCAAGTCCTGGAAGACCTGTTCCCTGCCTGGCAGGCCTTTCCCACCTGGCCTGGGAAGGCAGAGCCCTGACTGACTCCCGCTACAAAAAGTGAGGCTGTTGAACAGACTTTGGGGCTGAAAGGTTCACCTGCCAGATTTCTGCCTGGAACTCCTGGAATCTTGCATCTTGGTGAATGGGGTGTCTCCGGGGTGGAGTGCAACACTGTTGTTTAGCTCAGATCATTCAAATAAGACTTCTTGTGTGCAAAGGAAGAAACGCAGGCCCAAGCCACAAAGAAAACTGTGCCCTGCCTAGGACACAGTAAAGTTTTCAATTTCAGGTCTGATTCCTGGAATATGGAGTGCTTTCCCCTCATTATGGAGCAACTGCAGTTGGTCCCTACTTCCAACACGGTTTACTTAAGCATATTCCGAGTTAGGCTGTATACATATTTACTCCAGCTCCAGTATGCTCCCACTATTGGTGTTTGAAGCCAATTACACAATGACGTTAGCCACAATCCATCTGTAGCCCATGGCTTCTTGAGAAATACTCCTGTTTATGATGTGCTTTTCCTCAAACCATATGATTTCCAAACTGCAGTTAAGCTGAGGTGTGTACATTTCAGACAGCTGTTGTGCACGCACATATGATACGTTCAGTGAACTAGACTTTTGACACTGTAAAACAAATTGGGTCACCCACTCAACATGATATAGTGTACGTAACTTTAGGCATACCAAAGCCCATTGAGTCTTTAAAACTCTGCTTCAAAAAGCCATGTCCATCTTCTGGAATGTACATGTGGCTGACACCCTCTCCTTTTCATTTCTGCTAGGCAAAGGTAACTGGTAAACATTATGGCTTGCCAGTAGTTGCAATATATTTTTTAGTATTTCTAGAACTGCCCATGTACTTTTTATTTTATAGAAGAAAGGCTAGTAGCAAACAGCCCTTCATTATAAGATTGTACAGTACTATTAATTAGGGTTGCCCCCTTTAAAAAACAAAAAGCCCTTGCTCTCTTACCTTTCAACAGCTGATATACAAAACTTGATCTGATGGAAGTATTCGGCTCACTTATTTTCATGCCAGAAAGAACATCAGCACCTGTATTTCACAACATAGGAAGCAATTAAAGGTACAGGTGTCCAGTAAACTGATGGTGATAATAATGCTTAAGGTTTGTACAGTGCTGCACAGTGTTTCATATGAAAAATATCTTGATAAACTTCATTGCTCTTTTTTTACAAGTCAATTTTTAAAGTAACAGGAAGGAAATCGAAGTAAAATACGTCGCTTTTGGCACCCAGATCACAGACCCTCTAGAGACCACAGTCTAAGAACCCTTGCCCCATATGGCCGATTATGAAGGACCTGCCCCCAACCGGATTTCACATCACCAAACAGAACCAAAATAGCAAATGCCTCTGAGAATAAACAGGCTACCTCCCCACAAGTCACAGTGGTACCTACCCAAACTTATTGGGAAAGATGCTTTTGGAAAAGTGCAGCCTCTCCTCTGAGCTTCCCTATAGTGCCTGCTTGGCTTCTTGGTCAGACATAAGATGTGATAAACTGGAAACCTATTCTAACACCACCACCCCAAACTACAGCTAAAAAGAGTAGAGGAATGAGGTATGTTTAAGTCGCTGCATTGGGAGCAGTAGGTATGTGGAGCATGCTGGGAATTGTAGTTTACATTTATCGGAAATAAGCTGCTCGGCTTTCACCGCTTCAACTACAACTCCCACAGGCAAACCACCTCTGCACAACACATTTGCCCCTTTCCGTTCAGCGGAGGAAAACCCGGCCGTTCTACTTCGTCTCTTTCAGGTTAGCCAAAGCGTGTGTGTAGCAGAAGCTCAGCCGGGGAGTTCCAGCTCTCTGCTCATGCAACTCAGAAATAAAGCCGTTTTCAGCTTTAGGAGCTGCAGCAGCAACAGCAACAGCAGCTGTAACTAGGCGGCGTGTTTACTCTCTGAGAAGCTTAGAACTGTTGAGTTTTGCAGTGCAAGCTGTTGCAAACTGCAGAGGAATAGATGAGGCCTCGTCCCTTCCCAAGGCGGCTGCCAAACGACAGGCGGGGTGGGATGGGGGGGCGATGCAGGCTTACGCCCGCCTAGCCCGCTGAATACAGAGGATTGCAGTGTCGCTTTACGGATGGCTACGCCTTCTGCCTCCACTCATTTGACACTCATTGGTCGGCCGACGGCTTAGGGATTGTCTCAGCCCGGCGGGCGTGCTAAAAAATAAAAAGGTCGTCGGAAAGCATCCACCCCCCCGTCCCGGAGCAGTGAGCGTCTGTGCGCAGGTGCGGGCCAGTGGCCTCTTCAGCTGTTAAAACCCAGAGAAGTCCGGGCTTATTCCGCCTCCCCCCCCCCCCCAGTTTTGTCTACTCTCTTCTTGCCCCTCCTCCCGCTTCCTTAACTTCCCGTCATCCCGCACTTTTCGCTCGTCTCTCTTTCCCGCCCAGAAGTGCCTTAAGCGCCTTCTTCCCGGTGCTTGCAGGTGAGACCCTTCGTATCCCGGGCAAGGGACTTGTTTGTTGAGCTGCTAAAACAGTGAGCCTGACGGGATGGGGGAACGTGTGAACAAGTGTCCTTCCAGAAAGGAGCGGGAAAAGAGAAACGCAGCGCTGATTTAACTCCACCTGCTTTATATCGCTATCGTTGCCTCTCTGGTGCATTAAAGCAAAAACAAACCACAACTCGTGTGCCCGGCGTGCGTGTGGCCCGGATTCCTTTGCCAAGCGCCAAGGTGTCTTTTCCCCCCTATTGCATCCGGCGTTCAGAGATAAGAGGGGGAAATGGCCTATATTCGGGCGCAGGCAGCTTGTATAACTTGCAAGACTTTTAAAAGGAAAACCATGATGAGTTTGGCGCTTTGCTTTTCCTCGCTGGAAATTTGCTGAAGTCTCCCGGGCTCGAGGGGGTGGCGTGCAACCGAGGGGAAAGTGCGGCGAAGGAGAAAGTCCAACCCCAAAGGGCTTTTTTTTCTCTCGGCTCGCCACAAATTTCCACTCCGTTCAAAGAGGAACTCTCTCTCTCCTTTCTAAGCGAGTGTTTTGGTTTCAGTTCAATTCCACCCAAGGCCCTCACCCTTCTCCTTTCCCACGCGCTTCCGTTGGTTTCTTCGGCTTGTTTGTTTTCCCTTCTTAGCTCCGCCGTACTCGGCGGTTTTGTAACATGCTGTGCGTTTCTCTGGTGGAGGGAGGGTAATGTCAAGCTGCGGCGTCCCGAAGAGGGAATTCTCAAAAGGAGAGCTGTACTTAAAGAGCGGCTCTGAAAGTTGACTTCCTAATAAAAAGCGCCCAGCAGGGTTGCTTAGAAAACAAACGAGCCTTTTAAATATATATATAAACACACACACGCCTCTTTTCCTCAGCCTGGTGAATATTCTGGAGGGGTAATCATGCCCCCTCTTTCTGTTGAAATCAGTTGCTGCCTCGTGTCCAAAATCTCCATAAGCCTCTATGACACAGGTGCTTTCTGTGACATAGTTATGCCATAAAACATGGTCAGTCCCACCTCTGCATATGTTTTTTAATGCACTGCCACTACAAGCCATTTTAATCGCAAGAGCTTTCATTTTTGTATTTGTGCTCAACAGCTCCACTTCGAAATATTTATATTCTCTGGAACAGGGGTTCTTGAGCTGTGGTCTGTGAGCTTCATTTGAGGGACCCATGACGTGTCTGTGAAAATACTATTGAAAAGTGCACGACATCTAGCACAGCATATTGAAATTGCTACTAGAGGTAGACATTTATGTGGTCTGCCAAGACCCTCAGCAGTTTTCAAGTGGTCTGGGGGGGGGGATTGGGAATAATTACTCTGGAGCAGGGTGCTCCAACTTTTCATATCAAGTGGGTTGCAAGAGTACTTTGTTGTGGAACCCACTAGCCTTGTCATGCCTGCAAGTGGGGGGAGGGGGGAGCAAGGCCAAAATTTGACGCCCTCCGGGCCTCATGCTTCCCAAAGTGAGGCACTAGACTTCGGGAAGGAGGGACGAGGCTCTGGTGGGATCATAGAGTCCTCCCACTTCCTTCCCAAAGCTGGGAAAGCACTTACTAGGCTTTGGGAAAGAGGAGAGAAGACTCTGGGACCCTGTCAGAGCCCTCAGGTCTCCTTCCCAAATCCCAGCGCCTCACCTGGCTTTGGGAAGGCAGCAGGAGGGCTGAGGGGACAACAAATGTAGGCCGCACATTGGATACTCCACTCTCTGTGTAACACAGAGATACAACCCTCTCTGTGTTAATTAACACGTGTATGGGATGGCCTTTATGTGTTCCCCAGCAGTTCAGAATCTAGGTATTAGAATAGAATACAGTGGTACCTCGGGTTAAGAACTTAATTCGTTCTGGAGGTCCGTTCTTAACCTGAAACTCTTCTTAATCTGAAGCACCACTTTAGCTAATGGGGCCTCCCACTGCCGCTGCACCGCCGCTGCACGATTTCTGTTCTCATCCTGAAGCAAAGTTCTTAACCTGAGGTACTATTTCTGGGTTAGCGGAGTCTGTAACCTGAAGCGTATGTAACCTGAGGTACCACTGTACAAGTTTGATGTGAGAACAGCTCCTACTGTATTTTGGTGTGTTTGAATAGGAAATAGGCTAAGTAAGTTATCTGAAACCAAGTTAGTCTTACTTTACTCTTCCAAAACTAAATATATTTATATTAAAGACCCTTTTCAGGTCTGCATTTCAAGGAAAACCAAGCTACGTTTATCCCAAAGAGTTTAAAAGTGATGGCAATTTAAATGTTGGTACCATTGCCTCTAGGTTACCTTAAGAGGTAATCAGCTGGTGGACATACTGACTTTGGGGGGTGGAAATTGAAATGTTTTGGGAGCAATTCCAGATTTTTAGTAACTGTTCAGCTAGGGAGCTCAAAAACACTTGATTGTTAAATGCCAGTATTGCAGTTTCAAGTGCTCAAGTAACCAGGTATGGGGTGGCATTCTGCTAAGCTTTATTCTGAGGAGACCCATTGCAATGAATGGACCTAGCTTAGTCATGTTCATTAATATCAGTGGGTTTTCGCTGAATAAAGTGTAGTTGAACACCACCCACGCTGCTGGTAGTTTTTTCCAGCCCTGTAACCCATGTTTATTCATTGTCTTTATCTAGTTAGCCAAAAGCTTTGCAGACTTTGATGGTGTGCTAATAGGTCACAATGATTCCCTCTTTTGAAATAAATACATATTTTAAAGATTTCAGAGTAGCTTATGAATCCAGGTAGGTGTGCTTGCAAGCCAGCGTCAGCAACTTTTATCTGCAGCCTGATCCATGACAAGTTAATTACACCACTTATGCAGCAACTGCACAGATGCTCTATAGGAAGCTATAGTAGTTATACTGTAACTTGTGTTACCCTGGCTACTTTATCTCCTGATAACTCTGTAATTAACTTGTCACCACTGTTTAATGCTTAACGTATGTAGAGAATCAGTTAATGGCATCGCTAAAGTGATAGTAGCCTGAAGGAGAAGCTCATGCCCACTGGGAAGGCTATCAGGGATTGCTTAAACACAAAACACCCGGGCCTGACCTGGAAAGGCATTAAGAAGCTCATTTGTTAGGGCGCTTTGGGTAGAATGTTAAGAGTGTTCCTGATAAACATACAGCTGGTGTTCAACAGCCCTCTTTAAAGTGCAGATTTTGGAATTGCATTAATTTCCAGTAGCAAAAAAAGCAGCAATATAATAGGTGTATTTTCAGCCTAAATGAAGTTCGAGAGAGAACGAGGGGTTTTGTTAACATTACCGCATATGTAATAATACAGTTAAGAATCTTGCCCTGTCTGAACAATACATAACTACTTCTTACACTACCCTAGAGACCACTAACGTAAAAGATGACACCCTACTGCACATGTTAAAAACTTTAGGTTATACGGTGTTGGCTTCTCTCAATCAGATCAGAGATGAATCATAGTCTCGTGGGAACAAAATACTGTTCCTTTCTGCACCATTCTCAAGAATAGTGAGCCTTTCTGGGCACAATGCAGCTCTTTTATAGAGAGTTCCAGTTTCTTGCTGGAAAGAAAGTGCTGCCTGTTATTAGTGATAAATTTGCATGTTTTGAAGAAACTTACAGAATGAACAAAAATCCTAGATGTGTGATAGCTTAAATTCTAAAGTTTATGTTTATGAACGCATCATGTACTTTTAAAGATTTCCCGTGTTAGAATAATTTCCTGTTTGCAACACTTGTGTAGTCAGCAAAGTATCCAATGCTGTCTGTATTGCCCATTCCCAGAAGTCGAAGGGCGAAACTGAATGCACATTCTACCAATAGCATAACTCGTAAAAGCAAGCACTTGTTAAATCTATTTGTTTTTATTATAGACATCGATCTGCCAGTCGCAATAATGCATTTATGGACATTTTTCTGCAAGCACAGCGCTGGTGGCAGTTTTTACTGACAAATTGAGTCATATGGACAGTAGTTCAAAATAAGCTTACTTTATTGACAGATTGTGCAGTTCTCTAGTTCACAGAGTCTTCTTAAGATATTTGGATTGGCAAAAAAAGAGAGAATATAGCAGAAATATAAGACAACTGCTCTAATTTTTGAAGGGGGAACCTGTAAAATCAGTGTCGTAGGTAACCATGTTTTTCAGCAATTTTAATTGTGGGTAATTTTAGATTATGAAAGTGCTATGGTGCCACATGAACAAAGTTAGCTGGTAGACAATGGAGCCCAAAGCATCTTGCATCTCACTTTGTGCAGACATTTAGGATGAACCTAGGAAGTTTAGGAAGTCTAAAAAAGGTCTCTCCAAAGCAGAAAGAATCAAGGATAACAACTACTGATTGTCTGTCCTACATGAGTTTGCCATTTTGTTCTGTCTTCACTTGCTTTGGAAGGATTCTATTTGATGCTTTGGTAGTTTGTTTCAGTTTTCACCACCTTGAATCATTTGGGGTCAATAATGAACTTGTCCACTTCAGTGGTTATCCCTGACTCCACAAAATTTATGTCATTAATAGTCCCAGTTTCATCCTTACTGGGCGCCACTGGTTACTTGCAGCCCTCCATTATGAAAACTGTTCATTGCATGTACAAACTTCTTTCAACCAATACTTATTAGTAGATACAGTGGTATCTACTAATGTTAAGTACTTAATTCGTTCCGGAGGTCCGTTCTTAAACTGAAACTGTTCTTAACCTGAAGCACCACTTTAGGTAATGGGGCCTCCTGCTGCTGCTGCGCCGCCGGAGCATGATTTCTGTTCTCATCCTGAAGCAAAGTTCTTAACCTGAGGTACTATTTCTGGGTTAGTGGAGTCTGTAACCTGAAGCGTATGTAACCTGAAGCGTAAGTAACCCGAGGTACCACTGTAGCATACTAATCTGCCTTGAAAATGATGGTGCTGATGAATCAGTTGCCATTATAATGATATTTAAATTGTGTTACTGTGATTTAGATCAATCAGTGTAAAATGCAAGCAATGAAATAATTATCTTCAGTATGGAGACCATTCAGATGCAGGATACTGCTTTGGCATTTATTTACAGTGCTCTTCGGGACTTTGGTGTTCTTGAATGACTTTTCCACTGCTCAGTAAAGTGTCAAAGAAGACCCCCTGAAGAAAACAAGTCCGAGTGATAGTATATTGAGCACAAAGTTTAGAACATAGCATTGCTTTTGCAGAGGTCAAATAAGTAGAATAGCTACTTATAAGAGGATGCCATTGGCCAGATCTCTTTTAACCAGTGAAGTGCCGCAAATTCACACTTCATTGAACTTGTT